TTGTCTATTGACAAAGGACACCAAGTTCAAAAAGATTGATTAATAGCTGATTAATATATTATGCCTTGATTCAGGAACCCTGGATCAATAATTTTAGAATTGCGGGGATGGGAACTATAAAGGGTAGCATCTTCTCTGCATCTGTACCACACCCTAGAACTTGCATTTGGGTTAAAGAGGGGCTAAAATGTAATCCAGTTCTAGAGCTTTGTTCGAGGGACGTAACAGTAATTAAGACTGTATGTACTAAATCCAACATAAAACTGCTGCTGGCCTCTGTTTACATGCCACAAGGCGACGATGGACTGTTCCCATCGGCCGAGGTCAGAAGATTGGTCGACCTCGCACACGAGTCTGGATCCGAACTCGTGATAGGCTGCGACTCCAATGCCCATAATACGGCCTGGGGATGCAGGGACACTAACAACCGAGGTAGGTCACTTCTAGAATACATAGCTTCTTGCGGCCTACTTGTTGCAAACATAGGCTCAGAACCAACTTTTTTAAGCAGGATAGGCCAATCAGTAATTGATCTTACCCTGTGTTCGGCGGGTATGGCTGACAGGATTATTGACTGATCAGTGTCCCTTGAGCCATCCCTGTCTGATCATAGGCACATTGTCTTCGGGTTGGGGAATTTCTGCGGCGAGGTTCGCTTATTCAGGAGCCCAGTTAAAACCGACTGGGCATCCTTCAGAGCTGATCTTCGGGGCAGAATTGCCTCAAACCTGAACACATCTCCTATAAACACAGTTGATGCGCTTGACGAGGCGGCAGATCGTCTAACTAGGTGCATAGTTACATCCTTTGAGGATAATTGTCCTTTTAGCAAGGGAAAGAGCAACAGGGCTAGTTGGTGGGGTCCTGAACTTGCCTCTCTTAGGAAGAGAGTAAGGGCCCACTTTAGGCGAGCAAAGATAACCAATAATTGGGATATATACCATACAACTCTCTCTCACAGAATATAACCATGCAGTACGTAAGGCCAAAAGGCTTTCATGGAAAAATTTTTGTGGAAATTTAGAGAGTATCAAGGATACTTCTAGAATACATAAGGTACTTGTTAGAGACAGGCATGTTACTCTGGGTGCCGTTGAGGGACCGGATGGTGTAATGGCTTTTGAACCTACCGAAATACTAAAGGTTATGGTAAAAACTCATTTCCCTGGTTGTATTGTTTCTGAAGTGCAGCAGGAGGAGGTGAGTCCAGAGCGGCCTAACCTGGGCCGTCGTACCACTCATTCTATGTGGAGCACTGCTTGCCGCATAGTCACCTTCAGCAAGGTAAGATGGGCTGTTGGCTTATTACGACCCTTCAAATCGCCGGGTCCTGATGAGGTAAGACCTGTTTGTTTGCAGGAGGGTCTTGATACAATTATACACCCACTCTGTAAACTTTTCAGAGCCAGCTTAGCCCTAGGACACATTCCCTTAGGGTGGTGTAATTTGCGTATCGCATTTATTCCTAAACCAGGAAGGGATAGTTACACTGACCCTAAGTCATTTAGACCCATTTCTCTATCTTCTTTCTTTCTTAAGATCCTAGAAAAGTTGGTCTCAAGATATATGATGGATACAGCTCTTAGGACACATCCTTTACATATTAATCAGCATGCGTATGTCTCAGGAAGATCATGCGAGACTGCGTTGCACCAACTTGTAAGTAAGATTGAGAAAGCTCTAGAGAGCAGTGAAGTGGCCCTGGGTGCCTTTCTCGATATTCAAGGTGCTTTTGACAATACTGGTACTCCAGCGATTCTTAATGCGGTGAGAGCAAGAGGGTTTCTCGGTATAATATGTAGATGGATTGAATCCTTGCTTCTCAGTAGGAAGGTTAGGCTCTCACTCCATAATGATACGATCGAGGCAAGAACTACTCGAGGATGTCCTCAGGGGGGGGGGGGTTCTTTCTCCTCTCCTTTGGAATTTGGTAGCAGACGACCTTATAAGGACCCTCAACGAAAGTGGGGTTTTTGCCTTAGGTTATGCTGATGATGTTGCAATCCTTGTGGTTGGAAAGTTCCACGGAACCATAACTGACCTTATGAATAGAGCTTTAAGGGTAGTGGACCGTTGGTGCCAGGAAGTTGGGCTCTCTATAAATCCCAGGAAAGTTGTAATGGTACCCTTCACAAGAAGGAGGAAACTGGATGGGATCGGCCCACTAAGACTGCAGGGTACTGTAATAGAGCTGCAGAATCAGGTGAAGTATCTTGGTGTAATTTTGGACAGATCACTTCACTGGGGACCACATCTTCAAAAAGTCATTGAGCGTGGCAAATGGTCCCTTATGGCATGCAGGCGGATGGTAAGTGGCACATGGGGGTTACAGCCTAAACTTTTGCACTGGCTGTATGTATCTGTTGTTCGACCCGCCCTTACATATGGTTCGCTTGTGTGGTGGCCAAAGATGGAATCAACTATAGCTGTTAAAGCTTTAGCAGGAGTTCAGAGGCTTGCTCTTATTATGATAACTGGGGCAGTAAGTAGCTGTCCTGGAATGGCACTTGACTGTCTGCTTGACATGCTACCTATTGACATTTATATTAAGGTGGTAGCAAGTAAAACAGCCCAACGCCTTAGATGCGAAAACTTATGGATAGCCTCAGGAAACAATAAAGGGCACTCCAAAATTGTTCAGGTGGTACATAATGATGAATTGGACTTACCTTCAGATCACATGTCCAAAAAATACTCCTTTGGAAAGCCTTTCAAAGTACTAATACCAGATAGGAAGGATTGGTCTGGCGGAAAAGGACCCATACCCACAGGTGACTTAGAATGCTATACTGATGGTTCTAAGATCAAAAATGGGGGCACTGGAGCAGGTGTGCATTGGATGAATGGAGGCACTGGTATTTGTCTTCCAATGGGGGTGTACCCAACTGTCTTTCAAGCGGAGGTCACTGCCATTCTAGTTTGTGCTCAAGAACATCTTAACAAAGATATCAGAGACAAAACAATCAATACCTATACTGATAGTCAAGCGACCTTAAAAGCATTAAACTCTTACGAATTCAACTCCAGGCTCGTGTGGGACTGTCTTGCTTCTGTGTCTGAGTTGGGTAGGAGAAATGACCTTACGCTTTGCTGGGTGCCAGGACACTCTGGCATTAAAGGAAATGAAGCTGCAGACAGATTGGCAAATACTGCTTCTGCGACATCATTGTTAGGCCCACAACCCTTCTGTGGCATCTCACGAAACAGTGTATGTTCTGCGATTGCGTCATGGGCCAAGGAAAAGCATCGCAAACGCTGGGTCGATGTTCCCCTTCTTAGGGTCAGCAAGCTTACTCTGTTTAGGCCTTCCAAAAAGGTTGCCTGTGACCTCTTGAGACTAGACAGACGAAGAATTAAATTAATTGTTGAACTGATAACTGGTCATGGAAGATTCAGGAAACATCTACAACGGATGGGCTTATATGATGGTGAACCGATCTGTAGGTACTGTGATAGGTCAGTAGAGACAGCTGATCACTTACTCTTTGATTGTAACGAGCTCTCTCACGCTAGATCGATAACTCTTGGAAATATGGCTAGAGGTAGATATCTTCCTGAGGATGAACTAATTGGTAAGCTACAGGCATTCATTGGGCGCCTCAACTTGTAGGTCAACAAGAAAGCAATTAAGTATCTGGGGTGCGCAATAATTCGATTTCGGATGAAGTGCTTTAAGGTCTCGACCTGCCCCTGTTAGATAAGATAAGATAAGATAGCTGATTAATCACGATTATTAATTGTGGATGCCAGGCAAAATAAAGCCATCAATAGGGGTTTGCCTCATGTAGGGTGGCTTGAATGAGTTCGCGAACCAGATGGGGTAATAATAGGAAAACCTTATGTGGTTGTGAGATTAAAAAAAGTTTTTTTTCTAATTTTTTCCCTTAAAAAAATTTTTAATTTTAATTGCAGCCATTTTGTAGAGCTAAAAAAACAAACAGTAATGTATATTGAAGCATTGTTGTACAGTTGGTTACAAGAAAATAAAAAATACCCCCGCCGCAGCAAACCTGCCGTCTAAGCGAATTTCCATTTGGCCGAATTGATTTTCAAATGATCTATTTAAATAACATTAGGTTTAACGAGTACCTAGGTTTGCTGCTACAAGGAAACTAATAAAGTAGTGTGTTTTTAGTAAAATATTGATAGCTTACTATAAAATAAATAAATTTGCCAAGTTTGATCAAAATATATCCATAAACAAGCAAACTACAACATTTTACAATATTCTCCATAAGAATAACATGGGAATTTTAAATTTAAAATTTTTTTAGATTTCTCCGTAACCAATAACCGTACAAAAACACTTTGTTATACTGAATTGTTTGTTTTTTTAAGCTCTTTAAGAAGGTTTAGAGAAAAATTGGGAAATTTTGTGTTTTGAGGGTAAAAAGTGAGAAAAACCAATTTTTACCCCATAAAACCCCCCATAAAACCCTGTTCCCATGGTCCGATCATGCTGGATCGCGAACTCATTCAAGTTTATCCCGCCTTACACCTTCAAACCAAATTTCATCAAAATCGGATAAAAATTACTCAAGTTATCGTGTTCACGGACACATATATATATATATATATATAAATCTATATATATATATATACCTATATATATATACATATATAAAAATTTGAACGAATGGTGTTTTTGGCCTCTGGGGACATTAAAATGAAAAAGTAAATCGGTCCCGGGCCTAAGTCTTACCATGAGACCTACGGTAATAGCTACTTCCCTATAGGGAAATTCGCTAAAAAACTGTCCGTTCTAATTTCTCATGTTTTTTTTATATGTCTTTTTGATTTGTGATAAATTAATGGGAATCCGAGAGAAGGTACGCCGCTTTCTGTGTGTTTGTATCCTCCTTCTAACAGTTAAATTATTAACAGTGTCAAAGATTTAACGTGTTTTCTCTGTTCCATTTTTTGTTTAGTTAATTTATGTTTTAGCTTGTATAACATTATCCTTTTTGACTCTGAAGGTGACATAGCATTCTGTAACAAACAAATTGTGACTAAAAAAATCATACATACTTACTGTTAAAATTTAAATGAAATCTTCAGGTTTGAGAAGGATTTATATAAAGTAAAACGTACTTGATTTACAACAACATTTATCACAGATCAAGTTTAAATAATCGACCACGAGCTCCGACCACCAGACCGCGGCTGATGTCAGGCGTTGCCGAAACATAGAGATTTGATGTAAGTGAACTCTTCAATGCCGTGGTGTGAACCTTCTCGTCCTAGACCAGACTCTTTGATTCCTCCGAAGGCGATTTCTGCTGATGAAATCAATGACTCGTTGATTCCCACCATCCCCACCTCCAAGTTCTTGGCTACTCTCCACGCTTGCGAGACATCGTTTGTAAAGAAGTATCCTGCAAGACCTCGGGAAGTATTGTTGGCTTGTTGCACAGCTTCTCCTTCAGTGGAAAACCTGGTAATTCGTCACCGTTTTAAGGTAAAGCACGGTAAAAATGATAGAATAATGATATATCAAACGTTTAAAATGGTTATAAGAGATGAAAGTAAAATGGTAAACACTAAACAGTGAATCAAATTTGTAGAATTAAGTATATTGCATTTTTTGAGGGATTATGGGAAACATTTTCTCCAAAAACTAATCTAAAACCAAAACTAGACTAAAACCAAATTTAAACATCAAAGGATACCTTTTGTTGTTTGTACTCTTGTTCAAGATGTAGAATGAAATAGCTATCATAGAAAAAAAAAAAAATCTTACAAATCCTAGATCCATCAATTGAGAAGAGGTCTCATGCCTTTGAACTTTCAAGAGGAAAGCTATTGTGAATTATCAAAAGTGAGTTGTGACACTATAATATACAGAGTGATTGATATAAGTGTGCCAGCTGTTTAGTTGCAAAGTTATAAGATACTAGCTGTTGTACCCGTGCTTTGCAACGGGAAGAGAACACAAAATAGAAACATTTTGATCTTTACATCTGTTGATAAAATAGTTACACATAAGCCTTTTAAAAACAAAATTTTACCTTTATGGCCTTAATAAGATATCTGTTGTCATAAATGTAAAACAATAATAGTACTTTACCCTGTTGGTAAACCTTGTAACTTTTTAATGCTATTCAATATCATAGAACCAACTTGAGTAGTTGAAACAGCTGACAAAATTCTTTTATTCCTTTTAAATACGATTACTCATAAGGTTAACATGGGAAATTCCAGAGACACTGGGGCGGAGCCCGAAAGGACTTTTAAGATACGAATGCGTCTATATGTTAATCGGGAATGTGAGCTATCATCATACCAAATTTCAGCCCAATCCGACCAGTATTTTTCGCGTTTACTTGTCACAAACATACATCCATCCATCCATACATCCAAACTTTCTCATTTATAATATTACTAGCTGTACCCGCGGGCCTTGCCCCGTTTTACTTCATAAGTGAGCTCGTTCGCATGGCTCAATCACGTCCTGGTTGAAGTTCGTTCGCTACGCTCACTCACCTTTAGAATGGAGCTCGTTCGCTGCGCTCACTTGCCTTCAGGTTAGCTCGTTCGCTAAGCTAACTCGCCTCCAGGATGAAGTTCGTTCGCTACGCTCACACCTTTTGGTTGCAAATTAGCTGTTATCATAGATTAAAAAAAAAAATAATAGTGCTGCACCCTGTTGGTAATCCTTGTATGTTTTTAATGCTTTTGCATAATCATAGAATCAACTTTTTAGTTGAAACAGCTGACTAAATTATTTAATTCCCTTTTAATATGAATACTCATAAGGTTAACATGGGGAACTATAGAGCCACTGGGGCGGAGCCCGAAAGGATTTTTGAGATAAGAATATGCCTATATGTTAATCGGGAATGTGAGCTATCATCATGCCAAATTTCAGCAAAATCCGTCCAGTGGTTAATGCGTTCACTTGTCACAAACATACATCCATACATACATCCAAACTTTCTCATTTATAATATTATAGTAGGATATATAATGTATATATATAGTAGGATATCTAAAAATACGCTAAAAATTTTAAATTTTAACTGACTTGGATTTTTTGTTTAACACATTTTGGTCAATTTGAAAAGTCTTTTTAGCCGCTATCTTTCAATATCGCTGACAAATTTGATTTTTCTTATGGAAAACCCTATATTGTATGATTTTTTTAGAATTTAAATGCCATTTAAAAACAAAAACGTTTGTATTCTTGACATTTTTTCTCTAAAGCTACTCATTTAGGAGTTACAGCGTGTTATAACTAAGAAAAAATTACTTGTGGTGAACATTCTGCGCCATGTGGCCCATATACGAGTAAGTTTAGAGAGAAAATGCTAAGAGTAAATAAGTCTTAAAATTGCATCTACATTCTTAAAACCCCATAAAATACATAGTTTTATTATTTTAACATTTTCTACTATTTTGGAAAATGGCGGCCATTTTTGAAACAATGGAGTCAATTTTTTTTATAGTCTTTTTTAGAATTTTAGTTATAAAATTTGGGATTACACTATACATTTTTGTTGGTTTCTAAAAATTAACCAAAATATTGTAGATTTTTCTGGGGGGGGGGGGGGATATTCAGGAGCTGTAGGCACCTTGATTAACAGAAAAAATAAGGAAAAAACACTAACCTCATACACACAACGACAGGACCAAAGATTTCTTCTTTTGTACATAGCATATCTGAGGTAACGTTGGTCAGTAAGGTTGGGTGGAAGAATTTGTCACCAACCTCAAGAGCACGCTTACCCCCACAGTGAACTTTGGCTCCTTTGGCTATAGCATCATCCACGATGCGGGTAACCTTGAAACAGACAGTAAAGATATTGATATTACAATTTGAATTTGTTTTCTTTAAGAGCTTTAAGTAAGAAAAATATAACACATGTATTATTGTGTTGGGCTGATAAGCTAGATTGTACTGGATCGCCAACACTATCTTATCACAGCAGTTACAACTTGCTCGTCTATGTGACTTATACTGTACTGTAACGGTACTTAACTTTGTAGTCTATCGTTTAAGTTTAAGAAAATGTAAAATGATCAAAACAGTGAGGAGAATAAGCTGAACTGAATCAGAGTAGAAAAGCAAGAGTAAGATAGTTGTTTAGTTTCAGTAAGAAGAATGGGGGAACATTCCTAGGAAATAAGAGTCTGCGAAAGAGAGAAGACTAATAAGGAAAAGACAATAATTTACACACAGGGCTTTATCTTACAAAATCTCAATACAGTAAAATTTGTATGGGCTTCCATGTATTCTATTAGTGTATAATTGATTATTATAGGATCTTAAATGTTTCCCTGTGTAACGGTAGTTGAAAAGTGGCTGGTGTGATTAAAACCAACTTGTTAAATATCACCAAGTTACATAAAGTAAAAGTGCAATGTTGAATACTAGACTTTACCTTAGCAACTTGAGCATCATTGATCAAAGGCCCAGTAGTGGTGTTGGGGTCGAACCCATCACCCAGCTTAATGTCTGTATGAATTCTTTTTACCATCTTCTCAACAAATGATTCAAACACATCATTATGAATGAAAAATCTGTTTGGACTGATACAAGCCTGTAAAAATACAATTAAAATGAGTATATTTTCATGTCAGTGAGTGTTACAACGTTATGGACTGTGTAAGTATTTAACGTTTTATCACTTTGAAAATATATTGAAATTTTACCCAATTTGGGTTTAAAACCCTTCTCAAAAGAGTAAATAACTACCATGTCAAAGGTAAATGAAGATCTAACAATGAAAATACAATTTTGTTAGAACTTGAGGTGTGCCAGCCTGATATTTTAATCAAGCCGAACTAGAGGTAATAGTGTGATCATTTGCCATCGTGGAGACAACATGGTTGACTTTTGGGATTACTGCGAAATCCGGAATATCTTCCCTAGTCACGGAAATATCATCACTATCTGTCCAGACGCGGCAAAATCCTGAATATCAACAGAATTGCCATCATCGTCTCCAACAGTCATGTGGACATTATCATCATCTCCCGCAATGGCGGCAAAATTATGATACCTCCTACGGCCGTGTAGCCATCATCCCGCGATCACGAAAACGTGATCGTCGTCAAGCGCAATGGCGGCAAAATCATGAACATCTTCCGCGGCCATGTAAACATAATTATCGTCTCCCACTTTCACGATAACAAGATCGACAAGTGCTATCGCGGCCAAATCATTATCATCTTCCTCGGCCGTGTAGACATCATCATCGTCTCCCGCGGTCACGAAAACGTGATCGTCATCTAGCATGAAAAAGTGATTGTCATCTTGCACGATCGCGGCAAAATAATGATAATTCCCGACTTTGATATCAAAATAAAGACTAAATCCCGACTTTTCAAGACCATTTTGAAATTCAATACTAATTCCCGATTTTCCCGACTACTAGACACCCTGATATTTTGAAATTTATTTATTTTACACTACGCTATTAATATTTTTATCAAATGATTCAAGTTTTATCAATTATACCGCCCATTACCGTTAAGAATCTGTTATCAATTAATGTGCTCTTCAACATAATCATCGTGGTTCAAGTGGCATTGTCCTACCCACACAATTATTTAGTTTTTCAATTTGATTATTGTTCTTATTTCATTGTTGTTTCCTACAATTTGAAAGAAATGTATAGTATTTTTATCAGGACACGAGCTTATAAACTTGTTACACTAACAAATCATTTTTACAAGCAAGTAAATCTTCCACTACTATACCTGACCACAGTTCCTAAACTTGGCGGCCATCGCACAGTCCACGGCTCTCTCAATGTCCGCAGTGTTGAACACTATGAACGGAGCGTTGCCTCCAAGCTCCAGACTAACGCGCTTGACTCCAACAGCACACTGATTGTACAACAGCTTGCCTACCTCCGTGGACCCTAGGGCAACAGGAAGTAAACAGTAGCATAAAAAAACCAGGGTTTGGATCATTCCCTTACAAAAGTGATATTGCAACAATAAAAGATAAAATAAAATTATAGGTTGAAATAATGTGTTTGTTGTTTTAATGTAAACTCCAATAACTTGAATCTTTATTACACCAACCTGTGAATGAGAGGCCAGCAACGGAAGGACTTTGACATAAGACTCTCCCAATTTCGGCAGCGTTGGCTCTGGTGCAGGTTACAACATTGAAAACTCCTTTTGGAAACCCTGAAACAATCACCAGTTCACTTTCATTTTCTACATTCATTCATTTTCTACGTTGATTCCATAAAACGTAAGCACTATCATGCAACAGAGATGAGTCAATCCTTCACTTCTTTTTCCTACCCAAATTAAATTTGAATTCTATTAAAAAATTACAAGAATGTTTTAAATTTTCACCATTTCTATTCACCGCAGAATTTAACCGAACACCGTGACAGGAAAGTCACAAGACTCCTGTCACAACACAAATTTCATTCTAGTATTGTACAGATATTGCCCAACAACTCATTTGGTTTATAAGTCAAAAGGTCACTGAAGGTATCCCACTTGATTCAATGAATGGTTTTCGATTTGCTTACAAAATGTGACTGGAAATGTAGCAGTATTTGTAAACAACATTCAATGTAAACAGATCAGTGACAGCTAGAAGTGAGAATCTTAAACCAAACAGCTGTTAGCTATTTCATAAATGACGTATGTAATAAACATTGGGAGAAAACTTGATAAAAATCACACAAAATAGGGGTTTTGATGGTTCGTTATTTTATTTCCAAAGTAGCGAGGCCATATTGTAATAGCCAAAGACACTCACACCAATTCAGTGAATACAGAAAAAATTTGAATCTTGATTGGTACTCTAATTTTCTCGGAGTAGGCCGCGTAAATTGACATTTTGGCGTCACATACAGAATGACAGAGAGACTGACAGACAGACAGACATACAGAGAGAAAAACAGACAGACAGACATACAGAGAGAAAAACAGACAGACAGACATACAGAGAGAAAAACAGAGAGAAAAACAGACAGACAGACGGACAGAAATTGAGATAAGACTATTTCGGCTTTCTTAGACTATTAAACATTAAAATAACCAACAACTGCATGACTGCATGCTTCCTGTGCTTTCAAAATTACTAGAAAAATTAGTTAAAAATAGACTCACTGGATTTTTAGATAACAATAATTTTTTTTCACCAAATCAGTTTGGATTTAGAGAAGGCCTTAGTACAGAGTTAGCACTTCAACACTTTTTGACAAATATTTACGGAAACTTAAATAGCACAACTCATAATAAAACAGCTGGTTTGTTCTTAGATATTAGTAAGGCATTTGATACTATCGATCATGTTTTGCTCTTGAACAAACTAGAATCAGCAGGGATAAGAGGTGTACCACTTTCATGGTTTGGGTCATATCTTTCTGGGAGGAGGCAGCTGGTTAAAATTAAGAAGAGCAAAAGTAGTATCCAAAGTATTAACTTCGGTGTTCCCCAAGGATCAGTCCTTGGTCCTATTTTATTTTTAATTTTTGTCAACGACTTGTGCAGTGGTCTTTTGAATGGACGCCTAACAGCGTTTGCTGATGATACAGCATTGTCATACTGTGCAAGCACTTTAGATGAGCTTCATCACATAATGCAGGATGATCTACATAAAATATCACTTGGTTCAGTTGCAACAAACTTTGTCTAAATGTTTCTAAAACAATCTTTATCAATTTTTCTTTATCCCAATCAAATGTTTTTAATGCACCTTTAATTTTCCATAAAACAGATTGTAATAAAACTAGTTGCTTATGTGATTCTATAAAACAATGTAATGTTACCAAATATCTAGGTGTACTTTTGGATGAAAATCTATCATGGAAGATGCATGTAAATAATTTAAAGAATTCATTACGTTACTCACTTAGATCTTTTTTCCACCTCAAATATTGCTGTCCTCTTCCCATCTTAAAACAGGTTTACCACTCTTTAATCAATTCTAAGCTTCAATATGGAATTTCTTTGTATGGAGGTGCCTATGTGTCGAATTTAAAATCTTTAATTACTTTACAGAAGAAATTTGTCAGATTAATATGTAATGTAAATTTTTATTCTCATTCTCTACCTTTATTTGTAAGTCATAATATCCTTCCCTTCAGATATTTATATATTTTTAAAGTATTGACTATATTTTTCAAATTAAGTGGTAATGCAGGACCAACAGTTGATAACATTCACAATTATTCAACTAGACAAACTGCACATAACATTCTACGTTTACCCAAACCAAACTGTACCCTGTTTAAGAAGTGTTTTATTTATTTATCAATTAAAATTTTTAATGTCATTCCTGTTTCTGTAAAGCAGAGTAGGTCATTTAGTGTTTTTAAGAAATCTTTGAAAAAGTGGCTATTAACCAAGTCATATGATGAAATAGAACAGTTGTATTCTTAATAATATTAGTAAGTAATGTCTAGCTCAATGTATTTGCTTTATCTTTGTAAGTATCTGTATTTCAGAGTCTGGGTTTTCATTGTTTCCTTCAATTTCTTAAAATGTTCTCATTATTATAGTTACATTCTTTTCGTTTTACTTCCTAGATATTGGTGAATTTTGTTTTCTTTGTTGTCTTTTCCACAAAAGTTATTGGACTAAAGGTAAATTTAATTTATAATTCATTTTGTTACCCTTTTCAGAGAATTTTTTGTTATTGTTAAGTATTAGTTGAGACTCCCGCCCACACACAGAAGTTTTAATCTTCTTTGGGTGTGTATATTTCTTCGCAAGTTAAAGCAAACTGTTTTTATTTAATTAATTAATAATAAGTTTTTATTACATTGTAAAATAATTTGTTTTATAGATCTTTGTAATTTTATTGTATTACTTGTGGAGAAATAAAGATTTATTATTATTATTATTATTATGATTCTACGCAATGTACAGACAAATTGTAATTTTATTTATATACCTAGACTTGACCATTCTTTGATAAACTTTTAGGTTAGTGCCAGTAATCCAATTCTATGCATCAGCCTATATTTGTTTTCATAGTCAACAGCTTAGTTACCAGCGAGCTGTACAGTGTAGGCGAGTGCTAACGCAGTGAGAGGTGTGTCTTCTGCAGGTTTGATCACGCACGTACACCCGGCCGCAAGTGCTGCCGCTGCTTTACGAGTGATCATAGCATGAGGGAAGTTCCACTGTCAATCATAAAATCGTGTATGACCTTTTGTTGATCAAATTGATTTTGAAAAGCCATAGCACAAGAGGTTGTGTGCCTTATTTTCTATGTAATGTTATTTTTTTTAAGCCTACATTATTGTAGTATTTAGCGAATTTTCTATTAGTACAGTCAAAATAAGCGAAAAATTCCATAAACCTAAAAAGAAAATGGTACAAGCAAGGAATTTGGTACAGATGTTGGGTGTACCTTCCTTTTGAACATACTAAAAGTCCCCTAAAATTGAAGCGGCTATATTTCTGTATTTTTTGCTATAGGCCTAGTGGCTTTATTATTAGAGATACAGGAAAAGTCTAAATGTACAAAATGTAGTCCATCTAAATATACACATTTTTGCATTTGTGTTGTATTTTTTGTATTTGTTGTATTTATAATTTTTTTCTAAACTCAACTGTTTTTGAGTTATTTGTGATTAAATATATTTAGTTTTTTTTTATTTATCAAAAATAGGCGAAACCCATTGAAATTGACGTTTACTTTCAAGGTTTATGAAAATTCATCCCATTAGTGTGATACTATAAAATCTTAAAATTAAATTTATTTAATGAGTAAAATAACTCCACCACATCAAACCTGCAGACTCAGCAAATTTCCATTTGACTGATTAGATGTTTTATTAAATTTATATAAATAAAATTATGTTTATCGAGTACCTAGGTTTGCTGCTACAGAGAGATTAATATAGTATAGTGTGTTTTTTTAGTAAATGCCAATAGATATAAATATAATATAAACTAATTTTCCAAGTTTGATTAAAATAAATCCATAAACAAGTAAACTACAACAGTTTACTTATTCTTATTCATAAGAATAGCATGAGAATTGAATTAACACCTTTGTGTTTACTAAAAAGATGGCGGTTCACCGTCACGATTTGAATACTAACCAAAGGGGTTTTCAAATGGAGATGGAACAAGATATTTAAGGAATATTAACTCGTACCAAGTACCGGAAATATTGTATGCAGTGAGGTAAACAAACACATTTTGTAAAGTACGCAATAGTCATATTAATATTTTATCCTCATTTGTACCCATTAAATAAAGTTATATTTTAATATTTTGATGGTACTACCACACTAACTAACACAAGTAGACTTGACATCCCATTGTAAATTTGGAAGGTTGTTTTTTGTGTCTAGTTCATGTTGGTGATAAAGAAATTTTGTTTCTATTATTTTAGGGATAATTTTGTGATTTGTACTTAACTGTTTGGTTATATAATTAGGTGACCAGTTATTGTTTACGATTAGATTGTTTTATTTGGTTTAACGAGGTTTTCAATGACTGAAATAACTAGAAACAAATGGCAAACAAAACACAACCTCTATTCCACTGGTCGGAACTAACAAAAAAATTCTTTGGCTGATCCATAAGGATGAGAAATCTATGGGAGAATGTTTTAACCATGATATCAATCTGTTTTTATTTTACTTATCTCCTTTTGAAAACCCCTTCGGTTAGTATTCCTAGTCTGATAGCTAGCCCACAAGCTACAGGTCACATTATACTATCTAATGTTTTGTCCAAATGACTTCTTCAGTTCATTAAAGAAAAAATGTCAGTTAATAAAATATCCCCGCCACAGCAAACCTGCAGACTTCTCTTTTTGCAGGGTCCAGTTCTTACCATGAGACCTAAGGTAATAGCTTATTATCTATTTGGGAAATTCGCCAACAGTTAGGATCTTAAATTTTACAAAGAGCAACTAATATTATTTGAGTGAATTTCAAAAGTGTTACTAAGACTACAATTGCGTTACGGTATAGGTTCACAATTAAGTTACTCACAGGTGTTATGAGGGATACAACTCCTATTGGCTGTTTAATGAACACTAACTGTTTGTTGGCTGGACTAGGCACAACCTCTCCCTGTAATCAGATGGATTTTTTTAGAATTAAAAAAACATTCGTAAATACACTTTTGATTTAGTTTGGTTACATTTCTATTTTAACTTTCGATATGAACAAAATATATTGCTGAGGTGGTGGGTAACCTGAAATCTGAATGGCAGGGTTGATAAAAGGTGTTTTTCTATTCTGCTGAGAAGCCAACAAATTTATACATTAGATAGGTGGTAAATGACATTTAATAAAAATTGTATTATTGTTTATGATTAAATTTTGAATTGACATTATTTTAAATGGTGAAAAATTATTTAGGCCTACCCCCCCTCAACACAGTAGACCCCCCCTTATTAAACCTCGCATGAACCGACAATCAGATCATCTGCCCTCGCTCGTAAAATATTACAGTTAACTTTAACTGTCTTTGTTTTGAGAGCAGTTCGGTTTAACCACCGCTTTCCAGAAATCTCGGCATTTCTGCTCCAAAGCTTGGCAATGGGAACAATACGCTAAACTCTACAGTATATTACCGGCTATAAATAAACATCCTGTCTCGTAACGAAATGTTTGCTTGCATCTGCTTGTCCCGTTTGGGTCAGTTAAGCCCCTCTTAAGTGACCCTAACGGGACCGGAGCTGGTTCGGATAGCTCAAAAGGTCGATTCAAACAAGCCATCCCCAAAAACCTAAAAAATTAATTGCTATTAAATTGAAATTAATCATTATTCATTATTCTGAAGCTGTGCCTTCATTATTTAAAAAACAATGTCCACTGTATTTCCAATACTTTAAATGAATAAACCAGTATTTAAGATCCAAAATGTTTAAAATCTTTTGAGCTAGTTTTCTTAAAATCCTATTTTGAAAAGTAATTCATAAACTAACTAAAAATTTAAGTTAAGGAATGAATACCAGTAAAAGTAAAATTATTATTACCCTGTGTATTTGTTGAAGCACTAACTACCGAACAAAAGATTGATGTACAGTACTGTAACTATTAAACATACCTTGTCTATTAATACAACTAGACATTCCATCCCCATATTATATTTGTAGCCAGATTTTTATGAAAATTGTCATAGTTGATTTGAGCCCCCGACAGATTGTGCTGATCTAAATTAGGCCTACTAAATTCTGTCGAATACACTTAAACTTTTTTACCAAGGCAAACTCAGGGAATGGCTCATGGTGAGCTATAGCAACTGTTATGAACCATCAACCTGGTAAGCAACAAAAAAAAGATATAAAATAGAATTTTAGACACTAGCACATTCTGTGACTGGCTCACACAACTACCTTTTTTTTTAATAAAAAATTGGCGACAGCTGGTCCATATAGATGGGATGTATACTTCAGTATCCAATAGTCAATGTTATTACATAATGAAAAAGTGATAAACATCTGGTTAAATATTGAATCAATATTTTGCGTTAAGCCCAAGTCCTGTGATCATATTACACTTACATTTATTCTCCTCGCTTCTTCAGAAAACCATTCAACAAATGAGTTTCCGTAAGCCACTTCTCCCATCGCCTCGTTGAGTGGTTTACCAGACTCGGCTGTCATTATGTGAGCGAGATCTTTGCTGTGATCGTCCAACACATTGTACCATCTCCTCAGCATCATAGCTCGCTCCTACAAACATACAATTGTTTTGAACACTTTCCTTTGTTATACCCATTTTATTTATCATCTTACCTGCTTAACATACAATTGTTTTTATGAACAGACACACACAGTGTTCACAGGATGAGTAAAAATAAAATAAATTCCTAATTTGAGTTTAAATTCAAAGAGAATTGACCCGTTTGATAAATACCTTAGCAGTGAGGGACGACCAGCTTTTGAAGGCGTTGTCAGCCGCAGCTATTGCCAGCTCACAGTCCACAGCCACCATGTCTGGAACACTCGTCAATACTTCACCCGTGGAGGGAGAAGATACAGTGAAGGTGTGGCCTGACAATGCATCTACCCACTCTCCGTTGACGAACCCCTTGGAATGTGGCAGTAGCGACGTTATCAGCTTCATGTTAGAACCTGTAGGGATAATAAAAATAAATCATCACAGCTACAGAAACCCCAGTTAGTAACAAAGCTCCACAAAGTATCTAAGACACCCCACACCCACCTTTATTTTAATTATATTTTATTCATACAATACAAACCATTTTTCAAAAAAATACAAAAAAAGATGTTGACATAGGCTACAAAATGTTGGTTTGGAATTTAAAAAATAAACGATAATGAATGTGTAGCTCTCTCTCTTTGCTTAGTTGGAGACAGAACCTATATTGTTTGTTCTTGGTTGAACATGAGGCTGAAATTTGATAACTGAAAATGACAGGAAATAGGCCTACCTTTCATTAAGATTATCTTCTATGAGCAAATAATAGATAGATATGGGTTTAGTGTGACAAGGAATCTTGAATCCCACTAAAAAAAAACGGTGGAGTTCCAATAAATTTTAATAGTGTTGATATGAGTACAATTTATTTAGACTACCTAATTATTTTAAGCATTGAGATATAAAAACCTGAAATTGAAAATGTAGACTCAAAATTGAAACATTGCATTAGGTTACATGAAAATACAATTATCATTTACATACCGGTAACGTCATACAACATTCAGTTGTTTAAAAAACTATTTAATATACCTATACGGTATAATTTTTGGAGATTGATTTAGCTGTTAATCTCATTGCTACAATTAAAAGTAAAAATATAAAGAGATATATGTAAAAGTAATTGTTGTTATGTTACCTTTACTTAATATCTAGCTGTAAGTTGAACTTTCAATAACTGAATCACTTTATTGTAGCCTAAGTAAGGTCATACAACAAGACCCTAGTTCATAAATGACAGGCTTATCTGTAATGTGTATTGGTGGTGTTATCAGCATACAGGGGCCATTTTGTGATTGAAATCAACTTGCAATAGGTTAAGTTATAACTTTTACATTCCCATAACAATTAAGTCATGTACATTTCCATAATCAACATAACTTAAACCTCTTTAAAATTTAACTTTAAATAACATTTGTCATATTGGTTTATATTTTTTTTTCACAGAGACATTTCTTGGACAAAATATTAACTGGATTTTAACTTAATCCTTCAATATTAGCCTATTTGTTGTTTTGTCTCTATGGGACTAACTTTTATTTGGGTTTATACCAGTTTCCCCCCACCATTAATTAATTAACTTTTAAACTTAACTTAGGCTATATGTGATGTGTTTACTGCGCCAAGTAACTTAGATGTAGAGCTAAGTTAATACATTAAACCATAAGTAATCCGCTAACTAAACCAATATGATTACTATGAAACAGTATTTTAGTCTCCCACAAGAAAATTTTGAGATTAGCCTAAGTAAGTTAGGAATTTTGGCATTTTTGTCATAAAGTACAGACATTAAAAAAAACTCTAGAATTTGTTTAACTTACATTGCATATTGGTAACTGGTTCCAATTTTAGTCAGTTTAATTATTTTGAGTGATAGATTTAGAGTATTATTTCAGAGCAGCTTCAGTTGAAATTGTTTAAGAATCCCACAGTAGCCTATTAACAAACCAGGTGAAGCTATGGTTGTCAAGATTTATGTAGGGTTGCCATATCCCCGGATTTTCCTGAATATTACCGGATTTTGACATTCAAAATTTAGCTCCCTAGGGGATTTCTGCAAAAAGTAAAAAATCTCCACTTTTTTACTCTCTAATTAAATAGGCCTACATTATAAAATGGCAATTTTGGAATAAAATGAATGATTGCATTTGCAAATATCGTTATCCAATAACTGAAAAATACAACTCTTGTACTCTCTACTACGTTTTTTTCCCTTGGTTTCACTGTGGCCAGCAACGTCTTTAGTTTATTTTTATCGTCTGTTTCATTGCTCCCAGTCCTTCAATTTGCTTCTGCTTGCCAGTCCGAAGGTATCTGTGTTCACTACCAAAGCCTATCAGACAGAGAGCGTTAATTCGGTTATTCGTTATTTTTAGTTACATGTGACATGCAATGAAACATTTTAAATATTTTCGCGTAGGCCTACTGTTTGAATATTTACACAGAATATAGGACTAGCACGAATATTGAACAGAAACGGTATGGACTAATAAATATAAACAAATTAAACCGCTGGCCCAAAAGTCTATAACTTAGGCTAATAACGGTAACAACTGGTTTGGATGTTTATTGACAGTTCCATTTCAATAATAATAAAAACGTTTTTAAGTTAGCCTACTTTTGGGCCAGTGACATAATTTTATGTTTAAGTTTATGTCCCATACAGTTTCTGTCATAATATTTTTGCTATAGGGTATGTACTAGGTAGGGGTAGCCTACCTATACAATTTTGCTAGCCCATTAAATTTTATCCACAATTATAGTAGGGGCCGCTAGCTAAAATCTCCTCTTTTTTACACATATTACCATATGGCAAACTTATATTTATGAGGCAAAAGTTAGCAGAACAGTTACGCTAAGCCTATTACGATGGTCAAATAGTTTAGGAAGTTTTGTATTGAATTGCATTGAGAGGGAATCAAGCTATTTTATTTAGCTTACTTAACGTGTGGCCATAACCTAAGCCTAACTTAAGCTGTTATAGCTGATCCATTAAATATTAAAATGTTTACAGTATTATGCTGCGTCCTACTGCTGTGTCTGATGTTCTGTGTAAATATTGTCTTCAACTTGAAGGTTCAATCATTTGAATTAAAAAAAATCTCTCTATAGACCTAACATCATTGGGTCTAATGTTGGGGCCCATACTCAGACAGAAGAAAGGGATTGCAAGCAACAAACTTCAGTAGGCCTATGATGATACTTAACAACACGTTCACGATTGGAAATAATTTTTAAAAGAATAAGTAACTTAAGTTAACTTGACTTTGACTTAAGTTATATAAAGAACTAACTTAAACTTTTCTCACAGGCTAGACAGATTAAATAGGCCAAATCACAGTTAGTTAGTTGATACTAGCAAATGTTTGTACAATTGGAAACAATTATGAGAGGCAACCTTTACGCCACTGCAAAATTTCCAAAGCTAGGGAAAGTAGCCTTGAGGCCTAATTTGGTTTCTTGCCATTAAGTTAACAAAGTCTTAAGTGTCATTAAAATTGTTTTAATTTTGATGTTACTACCAATTAATTTTGTTGAAATATCAGTTAAGTATTCGATTATTATTCATTTATATTCGATCCCTTTGTCATTCATTGGTGTGGCCTATAGTGTGGGAAATAATAAGCTTAATAATATTTTAAGTTATATAATAATAATACAATACAATAATACAATCAGTTAAGTATTCGATTATTATTAATTTGTATTCGATCCCTTTATCCATTCATTGGTGTGGCCTATAGGCCTAGTTTGGGAAATAATAAGCTTGGTTTAAACATTTCCTTCACTCAAAAAGGATAGGCCTAAGGTGAATTTTGTTAATTTACATTATTTAATTAATTATGACAGTTCGGATCATACAACACTGATAAGTCCAACCTTATTTGATAAAATTAATATAAGTTAAGCTAACTTAGCCTAAGTACACTTAAGTTAGGCCTATTAATGCTAAGGGTTAGGTCTATATTTTATTTGACAGTAATGCCCTATATTCATTTACTAGTAAAATGGACACTACATTTTCTGAATTAAAGAGTGACATAAAATTACAATAGTACATAATATTTACCTTAATTTTAGCTTCAGCTTCAGCTTATAATAAATCAATCAGTCCCGGAACATAACATAACCTATCACGCCACTTTTACTCACGAAAACAAGACAAGAGACAACAGACAAGCAGAATGAAATTGTCAATGTCAAATGACAAAAAAATTGATACACTGAATAACAGATGATTGATTTTGATTTTTTTCCCCTCTAGTTTGCTTAGCAGGCTTCAATTTAATAGACCAGGCAGCCTCGATGTACACTGAGTTGTGGTTGCTTCCAATTCATCCTGCAATTAAGCCAATTAGGTTGATTTAGATTTTTGTCATTGACAACTGATATCAATGTGCCCAACATGCAAAACGAAAAGAATGAAGTGTTTAATCGGTTTAAGGTTTAATCACGGCCACATCTGGCCTAGCCGTGGTTTAATCTATATATATAAAGGTATTTGAACCACTGACTCATTCATTCACTCACTCATCACGAAATCTCAGAAACCATAAGACCTATGAACCTGAAACTTGGCAGGCATCTTCCTTTTGGGTAGGAGACGCTCACTAAGAAAGGATTTTACCCTCCGACCTCTGGGCTCCGCCCCAGTGGCTCTGGAGTTTCCCATGTTAACCTTATGAGTACTCATATTTAAATGGAATTAATGAATCTTAACAGCTGTTTCAATTAAACAAGTTGGTTCTGTTCTGTTCAATAGCATTAAAGTTACAAGGATTACCAATTACCAACAGGGTGCAGCACTATTATTTCTTTTAAATGCTGGGTGCAGTGTAAACAACTGGTACACACCTGAACTCTCTGCCTTTAAGAACTTTATCCTAGGTATCAGTGACTTATGCAAGAGTAACCCACAATTGCTGCCCTACCTCATCCTGATCTCAGGAAGCATTATCGTTTGAAGGTAAGGGAGGCGAAGCAATTTGCTACTGCTACTGCCATTGCTACATCTCCAAATGCATGCAAGGCTGCCTGGAACTACATCAATAGGCATAAAACCCCCACTACTGTTCCTGCTAAAGACTTTTGCACTGCTGATGAGTTTAATTCACATTTTCTTGATTCTGTTGATGAATTAATCCTCTCTTGTAAACCTGATCCATCTGTTCCTTATGATTGCCTTAATTCTGTTCCATTTGTTCCCGCTAATTTTTCATGGTCATGGACACCTCTGTTACTGTTGATAAGCTGCTTAGAGTAGTCAGTATAGCTTTAAATCCTCTAAGAGTCAAGATTTTTATAACATGTCTGTTGAGCTTTTAAAAAGATGTATCTATGTAGTTGCGCCAATCATTGTAGATATTGTAAATAAATCTCTGAGAGAAGGAGTCTTTCCTGAGGCTCTGAAGATTAGTAGGACTGTACCTGTGTACAAAAAGGGACCAAATGACAGTACTGTAAGTTACAGACCAATATCTATCATCCCCATCTTTGGTAAGGTGCTTGAAGCAGTCATGTTAGAGCAGCTGTACAGCTACTTTGAGAGGCATCGCCTTATTGTGCCCGCTCAATTTGGCTTCCAAAAAGGAAAGTCCACCGTTCAGGCTGTGGACTGTCTTGTTCAAGAAATCTTAAATGGTCTAGAGATTAGAAATTCTACTTCTGTTATAATGTGTGACCTATCCCGCGCTTTTGACTGTGTGTCACATAGTCTCCTGTTGTCAAAGCTCGAAAGGTACGGGGTACGAGGCGATGCTCTCTCATTGATTAAATCTTATCTTGAAGGGAGGTCTCAAGTTGTGACTTGGAATGGTAACTCTTCCAGTCCTCTGATGGGGAACAATGGAGTCCCGCAAGGGTCTATTATGGGTCCCTTCCTTTTTGTAATCTCAATCAATGACTTGTATCACAGTGTTGCAGGCAATGTCCTGCTATATGCAGATGATACAACTCTCTTTTCTAGTCACTCAGATTTTTCTGTATCTAAAGTTGCTGTGCAGGAATTATTAGATGTAGCTTCTATCTGGTTTCGCAACAATAAATTATGCCTGAACCAAGCCAAAACTCAAAACATCACTTTCAGTCTTTCTAGGGAACCGAGGAAAGAAAACACTGTAAAGCTGCTGGGCTTCACCCTTGACCCTCAGCTTGATTGGAACGATCATATTGAAATCCTGTGTGGTAAGCTAAGTCGTGTAATCCATTTGCTCAGACGGTTGAAGGCTGACATGCCATTTGAATTTGTTCGACTTGCGTACTTTGCTTTTTTCCATGCTCATATTCTGTATGGCACTCTAGGCTCTGGGGTCACTCCCCTGGAGTGCAAAAAGTCCTCAAACTACAGAAGAAAGCTGTCAGGGTCTTGTGTGGAGTCCATCAGCTTGAGCATTGTAAAGCTCTGTTTGTTCAGCATGGTATAATGCCTGTACACAATGTATTTATTTACCAATGCCTGTTAGAGATTAAGAACAATGAATCAGCTTTTCCATTGGTTAGTAATGTTCATCATTATAGCACTAGGAACAATGAAAATATTTTTAGAGATAGAGTTAGACTAGATTTAACTCTCAACTGCTTTCCTGTTGCAGGAATAAGGTTCTACAATGCCTTACCCATAACTGTAAGACAACTCTTACCGAACAAGTTTGCGACCACACTAAAAGCTTGGATGCTTGCCAATCCATTCTATTCCATAAAAGAGTTTTGGAATGCACAGCTTGTTACTATTGGGTTGAACCCACAGTAGTCCAGTAGAGGTATTACAAAAATGTAAATTTATTTATTTTTCTCTGCCTTGCATGGCTTGCAGCATGTAGTTTTCATTTTATTTTTATTTTTAGTTGCATGCATTGCTTTGCATGTTTTGTATTGATTGAGATCCTGCATGTTTTTTTTCAGCTTTTAATTTAATTTTGTTAGTTAAGAATGCTAGAAGAAGCTTGGCATGTTATTTATTATTTATTGTATTGTTGACGTAGCCTATTGTCCTGTATGCACTGAATGGCCTAATAAATCATTTGACATATTTATGACAACAGCTAAGTTAGCGTAGCGAACGAGCTAACCTGAAGGCAAGTGAGCGCAGCGAACGAGCTCCAACCTAAAGGTGAGTGAGCGTAGCAAACGAACTTCAACCAGGACGTGATTGAGCCATGCGAACGAGATCATCTTGAAAATTAAGAAGTTAAACGGGGCAAAGCCCGCGGGTTACAGCTAGTCTGTCTAAATCTATTTCAAAGATTACACATTGTATAATCTTTGCTTGAAAATCTAATGGAGTCTGTCTGTATGTTTATTACTAATTGGCGCATAAACTACTGAACTGGCAACCGACTGGGCTAAAATTTTACAAAAATATAGCTACTATACCAAGGATGGTAAATAATAGCATAGCATAGATAAAACATAGAGGAGTATGTTTTATCTATGGTAATAGGACTATTCACATTCGATTTGTGACCTTGGGTAGCCCCTTTGCCTTTTGCCCCTTTGGCTTTAAGAGGTGGCTCACGAGTCACGGTTTAGAAGAACGAGGTTATCCGCTTTCGGGCGCAGACAGATAAACTTCACCCAATTAGAGAAAACCCCTGGGCAAAAATATAAAATTGTCGGATTCACGAGTCATGGTCTAGCGCAATCGGGCGAAAATAACAATGGTTTTGGACTTGAACTAACTTAAACCTGCTGGGGGGGGGGGGGGGGGGGGGGTTAAGTTGACATCATGTCGGGATTATCTTATTTGCTCGTTATTTATTGTTTTTTTGTTAGCAATTGATATATTTTCTATTCTTTCTTTTCCACAAAATCAGATTTTAAATAGATAAAGATAATGAGGTTATGTAACATATGACATAATTGTGGAGGCATCTATATCAACCGTAGTTGATCCGTTGATCCGCCGCCCGGTTGAGGTTTTTAATAATATACAATACATATAACAAACTCGACGTACTGAAAAAAACTGGACCTCGCTGCTAATATAAGAAGTATACTATAGACATTGACAAATGACAATGAAGTACATAATTTAGAATGACACATAATAAGCTACTTTGCCATTCAAGGAATCCTTTGTTTTCCATTTTGAAAATTCAATTGGGTAAGTGTTGTGTTCCATCTATGTTCCTAATAGTTAATTAAGATACTGATACTAGAGGGCACATGCTGCTCCGCAATGTTGAAATAAATATCATATCCGAGAAATAATCAAAATTATGATTTTTGATTGAGTAATACAGTGTCTTGAACTTGACTCATTCAAACTATCAATAGCTCAAATGAAAGCCTATAATTTGCTGATTATTTGAGTCTAAAATATATATTTAAAAACAATCAATACTGAAGCTATTGATTTTTAATCATAGAAAAACCTTTAAAAAATGATTTTTATGTTGGTCGTTCACTTTGCGTTTGCTTGAAACTTGTTCAATTTTAATAACTAATAGCTTAAATGAAAGTCGGTATTTCACTGAAGGTTCTTAGACCAAAATATATGGGATTATATAATTATAACTGGTGAAATACATCTTAATCCAAAGTAAGAGTTCAAAAATAAAACAAATATATGTTTTTTGGCCAAGTAATACAGTAGATAAATATATGCCGATGCTTGATGTGAAATCTGTGCTTGCATACCTTCAATTTGAGACCTCAATCATGAAAATAAAAAATGGGTAGAAAAGCCAAACTCTGAAAAGAAAACCAACTTTTTTTAAACATATAAGATATGAAAAGGATAAATAAAGCTGGGTAACAAATACTCTTCAAATAGTTTGTTTACAAAATGATTTAATTGAAAAAATTGTTTCTCACTACCTTCTATAAATACTGAGAAATTAAAACTAAATAGTAAAAAGATCTATTTACTGACTTATGATGTGCTTGATCTAAAAATTGTGTTTAACTCTGACAATATTTGCTACGGTACACTAAACTAAAGATAAAACATTTTTTACACAAATTAATATAACTGTCAACTTACAATTGAGTGTTACCGGTATTTTAGAAGATAAAACACATTTGAACAAATTCAAGCTATACTCTGTTTGATGGAACCTGTACGGTGGGTCAGGAGACAGCTTCCATCATACAGACAGACTATAAGATAGTTGGTGAAAAAATAGTTATGATAATTGGAGATGGGCTAATATTACA